GATCCCCCAACTCCGTTATGGAAAGCAGTGTTTTCCAAAATACAGCCCAAGAACTTATTGCCGAAGCGGGCTAGCGCACCTGCCCGTTGGTCGTTGTCAATAGCCATGTGAAGTTCCGCAACATCGTCATCAGTCATCTTCGTAAAAGCCGAGATAGTCGAAGGGCCATCGTTGTCGAAGCAAACGAAAAGCAAAAGACCTCTGCACTTGTCGTTAAAAACCCTCGCAAGTTTGCGAGACCGGCTCATCTTGTTGTCAAATGTCTTCCTCGTGCCCGTGCCGCCGATCTGTTGGAAGACCGCGCTGTATACCTCGGATGGCACTTGCTTGAACCCAGAGGGTATGCGAGCACGCATTTTTTCCATGGCACTCATTAAAGCAACCACGGATAGTAGCGCAAAGAAAGCGGAAGAGCGCTCATGCTTGAGGCCAAGACGATAGAGTTCAGCAGCCTGTTGGGCCCATTGTCCTTGGACTTTGAGACCGGTTGATGTTTGCGGGGAATCAGCCATCTCTTTGGCAGCAAGGAGTTGTTTTACTCCCCGCAACATCGCCTTTTTGTTCGTCAGGTTTTCCGCCAGCGTTTTGGGAAGTGGCAACTCCCTCAGCTTTTTCTTTAGCTGCTTGCCTGGTGAGTCGGTGTCTGTCTGCTCGGCTGCGGGCCGCTTCTTCTTGCTGGGGGATGTCCTGGATGCGATGGAAACTGCAGGGCGTAGAGCGGCGGCCCGTTTCGGACATAACGACAGCAGATTTTCCCCCACATGTTCAAAGTCCCAGAGCTTTTCTTCCTTTGCGAACCAGAGACCGCAGCCCTCGCAAACTTTTGTCGCGGCCTCGGGCATTAGCGAATCGCCAAGCATCAGGAAATTAATGGCTGTGGCGAATGACGGGGTCCTGTTAACGACCATGTGGTACTGTCCCGGCCTTGTGACGACCATCGTGCCGGGCTGGGCGCTTAGTACCTCGAATTCAATGCCTGCCGCACGGAGTGTAGATGGCCCAATGAGCAGGTTGTGGTGGCGGAGCCACTGGTCGCAGTCGAGACTGCCGTAACGGCCCCTGACGTATGCTTCGAAGGCTCCCGTAGACTCTGGCTTGATTACAACCCATATCTTCTCCCCGGAAAGGTTGATATTGGCGGACCAATAGTGTGCGTCTTCACGATGGAAGCAGGTGGCCGACAGCCGGTGACCGATATGTTCGTAAGGAGTAGTTACGCCGGCAACCTCCCAGTCCTGCTTTGAATCGCCTCGCTCTTCGCCTTTCTGCCGCCGCAGCTCCGCCAGTTTCGCAAGCTCGCCTGGATGAAGCAGGCCGTTAAACCGCTCGTCGCTGTTTGTACACGGAGGCCCGACGTAGTAATTGATGACTTCCTTAGGGGGGTTGGCGCAAATGTCATCAAGGAACCGTTCGGGGTCCTCTTGAAGCACCGCATCGGAGAAGTCTGGCACACTGAACCCGCCTTCCGGGTGGGCGAGACGTACCCTGCACGTGCCCGGTTCGTCAAGGCTGTACTCCATACCGAGCAGATCCCATGCCCGATCCGGTTGTTGAATCTTCTCCTTCAGTTCGGCCGAGGTAGGTGGCGACAAACCCTCGATGCGGATCATGCCGCCGACTAAGGGCCCGAACTTATCCCACAAATTCTTGGCCAAGTCTGGTCCCATATCGTCAATGTGCATAGACCGCAGAGGCGGTTCTGGCGGAGAACTGGAAGGAAGCGGGCTGCAGCCAGGCGCGGTCGAAATCCCCCCGGCCGCCGTGGTTCGGCCGTTGGGGAGGCGTTTTCGGGATGGCCCGGCCGGCGGGGCGAATTGAGCCGAAGCGAAATGGGCGGCCGATTGGGGAGACTGGGGAACAGAGCGGTCGCTTGGAACGCCCCCGACCATGGCTTTGTCTCCGTGCTGGCCGGCAGATCCCGGTGGGGGACCCGCGGCAAAAGGGTCCTCGGCTATAGCTGTTTGCGTGTCGGCAGACGTGGCCTCCCCGTTGTAGCAGTCGACCCAGTGTTGCAATAGCATTTCGAGATAATACCATCGCACGAGGTACTGGTCGCCATCGGGAGGAGTTGTTTCCCCGAAGTAGGATCGAACGCCCGTCAAACATTGAAGCAGACAGGTGTTGCCGGTATAGTCGCGGAGCTGGATAAATAAGGTTAGAAAATATCGACCAAGTTTCGAGGGGCTCTCCTTACTTTGTTTTCGGAATCTTCCAGTTCAAACTCCAGTTCTTTCTCACAATCCTCCCGCAGCCTGTCTGCCATGTTTCGGTCCATTCCCCAGTGCGTAAACTTCCCCAACTTCTTCCCCGATCTTCTTTTCGTCCACCTCTGCTTTTTCCCTGCAAGTTTTCCACCGTTTCCTCCCTCCAGTCGACAATAGCCACAACGAAATGATTAGGGTTGCCCCCCGAAAGTTGGAGCCCATCCTGAACATGGCAGAGAATAACGGCAAAGCGTCTATTCTTCATCTTGTTAAGCGCATGAACACTCGAACGGTCAATCACCGGCCAGGAGTTCATGGTGCAAACTTCATGGAACACCCCAGCCCTAATGAACTCGTTAGGCCTGAACTCGTCGACCCCCTTCTCTTGGAAATGCTTTTTTCCCCACTTAACCGCTTTGCCAAGCTTGATTTTGTGGGGCCCCTGGAACTTGGGCATCTCGAGAACCGAGGTTTCGAGGTCGACCGCAGAGCTCGTATTGGCGTTTAGGGGAGGGCCGGCTGTATCCTGAGAGGGACTATCGGGGGGGCTGCTGAGGGAACTGCCAGACGGTGACTGTGCTCCGGAATTCCTGCCCGGGGGTGCGGCATCGGCGGCGTCGGGCATATCGATGTCGGCTGCACCTTGGGCGGGACCGCTGGGCGACTGCGGTTCGGGATCGCTGCTTGATACGGCGTGAGCATCGCCCAGCAGTGAATTCATCGAGTGGAAACTTCGAAGGGTTCTTCGTCTAGAGCCGGGGTCGACCTCAAGTGGTGGGGGTTTCGTTGCAAGTGCATCCGACTGGCTTTCGCGGGGGGGCCTGCTGGAAGTGCTGGAAGTGCTTGCGGAATCGGTGGAGCCGGCGCTACTCTCTTGCTCGCTGCTCGCCGTCGATGACGCAGCCGAAGATGGCGAAGGGCCCGATGCAGGTGCCCCAGAGAC